AGGGGACAGAGGGGACAGGGATGGGACAGAGGGGACAGAGGGGACAGGGACAGAGGGGACAGGGACACGGCTGCCACCTGCGCTGCCACCTGCGCGCCAAGGGGGCGGCGCCGCCCCGCCCACAGAGCCCTTGTCGCCGGTGTCCCCTCGGTGTCACCTCATCCGCGGTGCCATCCCCCGCCTCACGTCCCGGCGTGTCCCACGAGTGTCCCCGAGAGTCCCCACGCATCCCCCGAGTGTTCCCAACTGTCCCCAAGTGTCCCCCGAGTGTCCCCAAGTGTCCCCACACGTCCCCCGGGTGTCCCCAGCAACTGTCCCCAAGTGTCCCCAAATGTCCAGCGTGTGTCCCCATGCATCCTCTGAGCGTCCCCAAGTGTCCCCACACGTCCCCCGGGTGTCCCTGCATGTCCCCAAGTGTTCTTGAGTGTCCCCAAGCGTCCCGACACATCCCCTGAGTGTCCCCAACAACCGTCCTCAAGTGTCCCCAAGTGTCCTGACACATCCCCCACATGTCCCTGCATGTCCCCAAGTGTTCCCAGTGTCCCCCACTGTCCCCTGCGTGTCCCCCACATGTCCCCCGGTGTCCCCAGCCCGGTACCGGCCCGCCCGCTCCGGAACCCGAACCGGAGCGGAGCCCCGGGCCCTGCCGGCCCGAACGGTTCCGGTGCCCCCTGCCCGTGACACCCCCGGGCCCGACCCCCCGGGTCTGGGCCCTCGCAGTTCCGAACCCCCCGAGCCGGTGCCGAACCCTCCCGGCCCGGACACTCCCGGTTCCAGACACCGCCGGTTCCGGACCCCCCAGTCCCGAACCTCCCGGTCCCGGACCCCCAATCCCGGTCCCAGACCCCCAAGCCCGGTCCCGGACCCCCCAGTCCCGAACCTCCCGGTCCCGGACCCCCAATCCCGGTCCCAGACCCCCAATCCCGGGCCCGGACCCCCCCGGCCCCAACCTCCCCGCCAGGTGTCCCCGGTGTCCCCGGTGTCCCCAGTGTCCCCAGTGTCCCAGCTATCCCAGGTCCCCCCACTGCCCCCAGCTGTCCCCAGTGTCCCCGGTGTCCCCCCGCTGTCCCCCAGTGTCCCCAGGTGTCCCAGCTGTCCCCAGTCTCCCCAGTGTCCCCAGTCCCCCCACTGTCCCCGCTGTCCCCGGTGTCCCCCCGCTGTCCCCCGGTGTCCCCCCAGTGTCCCCGGTGTCCCCAGCTGTCCCCACCTCTCCCTTGCGCAGCATGTCCCACTTGTTCATGATCTTCATGGCGTAGATCTGCCCGGTCTCCCTCATCCTCACCACGGCCACCTGCGGGGGCACGGGGGGGTCACGGGGCTCGGTGCCACCACGGTGTCCCCCGGTGTCCCCGCGGTGTCCCCCGGTGTCCCCCGGTGTCCCCGCGGTGTCCCCCGGTGTCCCCCGGTGTCCCCGCGGTGTCCCCGGTGTCCCCTGACCTCGCTGAAGGCGCCTCTCCCGATCACTTTGAGGATCTCGAAGTCTCCGCGCTGCAGCTGCAGCTCCTGGACCCGCGCGGCCGCGGGCTCGGCTGGGGGAACCGGACCGGGACCGGGGATTAGGGACCACCGGAATCGAACCGGGACCGGGACCGGGGGATTAGGGACCACCAGAACCGGAACCGGACCGGGACCGGGGGATTAGGGACCACCGGAACCGAGATCAGGGGCAGCCGGGGAGAACCCGCCCGGGACCACAGGGAATTTTTGGGGGGGGGGGGCTCGGAGGAACAATCCCATGGAATATTTTTTTTTTTTTGGG